CAGTGAGCCATGAAGTTCACGTTTATCATCACATGAAATGCTTGCACCAGGACCTAACAACACGACATTGGTTTCCTTGCCCTTAGTAGAGTCTGGGCAGCTTCCAGCGCTCTCCTGGGTATGTTTAGTGGTGACCTCTGTCTTCCCTGACTGTGGCAGCCAATCATTCTTGGAGGTCTTTTGTTTTGCTTGGCTGGAGGAGCTGAGGAGGCCCTGGGTCTTTTCCTGCCTGTCTTCAATATTTATTTGTGCTGAGGATATTGCAGAATTTTCTTGTTGGCTCTGCTTCTTCTCTGAGGAGTAACCAAACAAAGTGACAAGGGCTGACTGGGGCTTAGTGGGCTTCCTTTGGGTTGTTGTTTCCTTCTTGAGAATGCTGCCTTTGTCTTCAGAGCCAAAAAGGATGGTGAAGGGGTTTTTCCCAAGCCTGGAACCTTTACCCAGCATCTCTTTGCTGACTTGACTGCTTCTTATCTCCTTGCTCTGGGCACCAGGCCTTGATGTATGCAGAGCATTTTCCCCTGGGAGTTTCATTTTCAGTTTCATTTTTTCTTTGCTCCCTGCATGACCACCAGAGTTGTCTGGTTTGGAAGAGTTTAATGTCTTGGTTGGCTGCTCAGAAATGGGAAAGATGTTTCCACTCAGAACTTCTCTGGGATCCTTCGACTTGCAGTTGTTGACTTCCTCCTGTGAGGGCCAAGTGGCACAAGTTCCTTTCAGAGGTGTGTCTGTTGATATTGGAACATCCTTACTGGGTGATTCTACATCATGTCTCAAAATATCCTCATGAGGGTTAGTTATCAGTGGGCCACATATGACCTGACGCTCTGTTTCCTGTATGCAAGACGCATTGTGGTCCTCTGTCCTTTGTGGCAAACCAGGTGAAGAGACTCTGTTTTCTGCTTTGTTTTCCTGAGATGTATGCTCAGGACTGGGTTCTTCCAGAAACTCTGATGTACTTCTTGGTTTAAATTCTTTTATTTTCTCAAATTCCACCCCTTTGCTCTCAATCTCACTCAAATGACTGATGCTGGATGACTGCATGTTTTCCCCTGCGGCTACTGGTATCTGTTTCTCAGGGAATTCATCAGTGTTTGCCTTTGATTTCTCATTTGCCAGCTCATTGATCTTAGGTGATACACTCAGCCCTTCTGGCTCCATGGATCCAGAAGATGCATGAGGGGTACCTGACACACCAGCGAGGCAGTGGGCTTCTTCAGCTTCATATCTAGGGAGATCAACACCCTCAGCTCCACATTTTACCTCTTTACTTGTGGTGATTCTGGTTTTGGGCTCTTCTGGGACACAGATGAGCTGTGAGCTGTTCATTCTCTCTTCAAGATAATGCTTGTCTCCTGCAGTACCTGGAGTGGCTGTGGTCAGTTCAAGCTTGTCATCTGTCATTGCAGGCATTGTGCCTCCTTCCCTGGGTGTGCCTAAAGACCCACAGACCTTGCTTTCCTTCACTGCAGAGAGGATGCAGCCCCCTGTGCCCCCCAGGTACCTCCAGTTGGTGGGTTTAGTGCTTTGACATGTGGAGTGGTGGACAAGTGAGCCATGAGGCAGGGATTTCACAGGCTCCAGGACTAGAGGGGAAGAGGCAGAGGCAGGTGCTCTCTCCATCTTGGCTTTGCTCTGTTGGATTGCAGCCACTTGCTGGGACACCTTGCCTTCTCCCTTCCCTTTGGGCAAGTCCCTGTCCCCAGTTTTTTCACTGTCTCTCTGTTCTCTGGTCTTGGGCCAGGAACATGCTTGCTCCCTGTCCTTGCTATAGGTGACACCAGGTAAGAAGTGTCCCTTCTCCACTGCTGCCTCCACAACTGATTTTCCCTCCTGACCCCTGAGCACCATCCTGCCCACCTTGCTCCCCATAGCCTGGTAGGTTTGCAGGCTCAACGCCATTTTTTGCCAGGAACATGCCCCCTTTCCAGCTTTTCCATCTACAGCCAACAAGGTTGTTTCTGAAGGTGGCCAGCCCATTTTGAGCTTGTTCCCTAAGAGGAGAGACCTGGTGTTCTGCTCTTGCCTGTGCTCAGCCAGTCGCAAGCTGCTCTGTGCATTGAAGGATGTGAGTTTCTCTCTTGTTCCAGTCTCCTTTTTGGCTCTGTTATACCAGTCCTGGGGCTGTGGTCCTCTGCCCACCATTGCCACTTGCTGAACCTGATGGTCTCCTGGTCGGTGCTCCATCTCACTTCTGTTTTTAGCTCCGGCCATCTGCTTGTAGTGGACTTGGCAGTAAAATACCCCGTGGAGGGCAGCATAGTTTTGCAAGCTGGAAAACACACACATTGGCATAGATGTTAGCAGCTGTGTGGGAGGGAAGGATTAACGGTAGCACTGATGGACAGGTTTTCAGCAAAATTGCTTTTCAGAGGAAACTTGGGGAAGGGAGGGAGCTTGAAGAATGAAACCTTTCAAAAGCAATGTCTGTTTTCTGAGTATACGTTTGATTTTTCTTTCAAAAACCAAAACAAATGAAAAATGAAACATTTCCTTGCAATACTGCTGGGAGCTGTAGTCCAGGTTATGTGCAATCCCTTTCTCATTTACAGTTCAGGCTTCATACCAGCCCTTCATCTCTCCTCTTGTATGCACAGCATGAACCATACGGGTAAAACTGCACAGAGCTTCCATGATACAACAACTGTATGATGGGAGAAAGTGACTGTACAGCTGGGGGGCCAAAAGGATGGCAAGGAGCCTCACAGAAAAGGACTGGTGTGTCTCAGGGACTGACAAGCTGAAAACAAGCCAGCAGTGTGCTTTAGTGGCAGAGGAGCCAACTACATCCTGGGCTGGTCAAGAGAAGTGACCAGTCCTCTGTATTAGGCACTTGTAGGACCACGTGTGGAGTACTTTGTCCAGTTTTGGGCTCCCCAGTGCAAGAGAGCCGTTGGTATACTGGAAAAGGTCCAGCAAAGGGCCACAAAGGTGGTCAGGGGCCTGGAACGTGTCACCTGAGGAGAGGCTGGGAGCTGGGCTAGCTAGATCTTATAACGAGAAGGTTACGAGGGAGGAACTCACTGCTGTGTGTGCCAGGATGAAAAGCAATGGGAACAAGTTGTAACATTGGAAATTGCGACAAGATATAAGAAAAAACATTTTCACTGGAGGTCAAATCTTGAGAGAGGGAGCCCAATGCAGAGGCTGTGGAATTGCCATCCTTGGAGCCATTCACACCTCTCCTGGACATGGTCCTGAGCTACCTGCCTTCCTTGGACCCATAGAAGGCTGGACAGAGACTTCCAGAGGTCCCTTCCAACCTATCTGACCCCATGGACATGTAAGGTATCCAAACTACTCCTCCAATTAAATTCCATATCAGCATTCCCAAATTGAAAATATTTCCTGTATTTTGACCTCACTCTTGTACCACCATGCAGATTCCTCATCTAGAGGTGTCTACAAGCTTGAGGGGAGCAGTCTTCAGACTTCAGTGATGGAGAGGCAGATTGCATCAGGAAAACTGCCTGCCTTTTTATGTTGCATGAAATCTGCCCTGTTGGAATTACCACTGGGCTTTTATGATGGAAGCTGCTTGGACATCCCTTAAAAATAAATGCACTTGGGTGCCTACCACTCACCTCAGCTTCCTCCCACAGACCTGGCAGCAGAAACATGAGCGGTGCACACAGACTTTGTCAGTGACCACGCGCTCCATGGGGTAGACTGGCCGCAGGCATGAGGCACACACCTCCTTCAACAAGGCCTGAAGAAGAAGGAAAAACTGAAGTTAAGTAACTTCGAATCATGACCACTTAGAAATGCATGTGCAAATTAATTTGATGAATCTCCTGCTTGTGTTAGATTTTCTTGTTGATATTCTTTCATAGCTCTCTTGCGAGATATCAGCCAGTCATCCTGGCTGACTCCATTTACTTGTCAACTTGATAGGTCAGCATTAAGGTCCAGTCAGGACAGAAAGACAAGACACCCTGGTACCTGTGATGAGAGAAATGATTCCATTGTTTGAACACAATTGATTCACTCAGTTGAATCATTTCAAAGCCTTAAGTGAGGTAAGAAGCATTGTTCAGAGGCTCTGACTCAAAGACTTTGGTTGGACAACTCTTGAAAACATTGGCATTGTATGACTGCTTACATAGATCACATAGTCCAGACCCTAAAAAGGCAGCACATCTCACTGTTAAACCTCTCACATCTCTATAAAACCTGTTAGTTTACTCCAGTATGTTTACTCTGTGGGCTGTATTTTATGCCATGACCTGATTCCTTGTGCACCACTTTATGTGAAGAGCCTAGGGAATCTCTCTAGAAAGCACTGCCAACACCAGCTATTTTATTAGTGGAGAGAGAAAGGGAATTAAAGAAAGCTTGGACATCAGCCTAGCTGCAGAAATAGCTCCAGGTTGTCTGCATGGTCAAGTAATCCAGAGGATGCTGGAGGCAATGTGGATATATCTGTGTGCTCCTTTTCACTGTGGTGCGAAGCAGAGGCTCAGCTCACTCAGTGAGTCCACCTGCAAGTCATGTCTGTCCAAAGCCCCAAAAGAAGCACAGCTGAGCATAACCCAACTCTGACTGTTTGGGTCAGTGCTCTGAGTACCCTCACATGAGGGTATCTTTGTTGGGCATAACTTGCCACAGTTTGATTTGGTAGGGTTTTGGTGGTGGTCTCTGATCCCTCCGGCTTTTTGGTCAGTATGTGCTCACTCTGGTTTGCAGTGCTGTCAGCTCAGAGAAAAGGCAGATTTACTTTCTGCTCTTATGTGGAGTGGGCTGACGCACAGATTTTAGCTTAGACCAGAGGAAGCAGGTTGCTCAGGGAAGCTGTGGATGCCCCCTCCCTGGCAGTGCCCAAGGCCAGGTTGGATGGGGCTTTGAGCAGCCGGGGCTGGTGGGAGGTGTCCCTGCCCATGGCAGAGATGTAGGAACCAGATGATCTTTGGAGTCCCTTCCAACCCAAACCATTCTGTGTTTCTGTGATCTTATAGTTCTGTGAAACATGAAAAGTGTTTCTGTTTCTCAAGAGATGAGTTGACAAGTGAATAAGAACTTGTCTTTTATTTGTTACAGACACCTAGGGGACCAATTATTTTAATTACATTCATTTTAGTTGAATATGTAAGGTCAAGTCATCTTTATTTTGCTATGACAACAATTTCACGAAGAGTTTAATGTCTTTGGTTTTCTTCCCTCTCTGTAGAGGTAAGTATGCAAACAAACCCCATATCTTTCCTTTAGTTTGCAATGATCTCAGCATACCTCTGCTTTTCCAGTCCTCTACAGAGAGGAGACCATAAGTGTCTGTAAGTGTCTACGTACATAAGATGTCTGAACTCCCGGTATACTTAATAGAGGTCCAGTTAAGGGAATCTAGAAGGTGATACATGTACCCAAAAATGGCCCCATGTAGCTGGACAAAATTAGTCAGTCAGGCAGGATAAGTTTCACCAATGTGACTACAGAACTGTGCTGGTGTCAATGAGGGGGCAGTGCTGGTGAAGGCAAAGCAGAAATATGCTTTCATGAAAAGATAACATAAGATAGCAGAAAACAGATGTGAAGTAATACCATGTTGATGGGTCTCTCCAATAGTAATTGAAGCTCTGCACCTTTGGCATGGATGCCATTTCCCTGGAGGAAATGCGCAGGCTATTTGGCAAAGAAGAGCGAGTGGTGATGGGCAGCTGCATGAATGCAGCATCATTTATGATGAAGGAGCAAAGTGCCAGCCCTGGCTGTAATAAATCACAGCCAATGGATCAGCTCGGCTGTATTTGGCAGTACAGATCACAGTTACATCTAGGGACTCTCACAGGCATTTCCTCTGACAGAGGTGAGCTCTCACACAGCATGAAGGTGTGTGTCCTGACAGAGAAGAGAGAAACTGGTAAAGTGTCTCTGTTGTATAGTAAAAAAAATGCTTTCCTTTAATCATGACCAAGCAGAGCTGCTTAGCAGACAAGCAAAATCTCTCTGCCCTTTGCAGGAAATGAATGTATGTGCTCCTGGAGTGTGTTTTCAAAGTGAGTTAATCTCTTATAGAGGATGCAGGTCTCTTTCACCAGATTTATTTTAAGTGCTCACTGTCTGATGCATGGCAAATACAGAGGTATATACATGGTTCTTCAAAGGTATTTTTACCAGCTCCAGGAATAAGCCTTCCTGATGGTTTGGAAGATAGAGAGGTGATTAGCAGCAATCAAATGGCACTGTGGGCAAGGAAATTATCTTAAGGCTTCTGTGAAAAGCAGTTACAGGCTGTTCCTGGAAGGCTCTTCCAGTATGCTGCTGATTACTGCCATGCTGAAAGCTGCAGCTAGCTTATGGCTTATCAGTTGTTGCCTTTTTTCTCCTTAAATTAATTAAAATCCTTACAGTAGAAGGCATCAGCCTGAAAATGTTTGTGTTGTTGACAGGTGGAGAAGACGGAGAGCACAAAGCTTTCT